TCCCCCTCCCCCCCCTAGGAGTAAGCTTCCATGATAGTGAAGGGAAGGTTTGTTGTATGAAGAAACCCCTTTATAGGTTCAAGCAGTCTCATAGAGCTTGGTTTGATAGATTAAGTAAGGCTGTTCTTAAAATTGGGTTCACTTAATCACAAATAGATCATACTCTCTTCATAAGAAGAGTTAATGGCCTAGTGACTTTTATGATAGTATATGTTGATGACATTGTTGTCACTGGAGATGATAACTTTGGAATAGTCCAACTAAAGTCTCTTCTTACTTCTGAATTTGAGATCAAAGATCTTGGTAATCTTAGATACTTTCTTTGAATTGAAGTGGCAAGGCCAAAGGAAGGGATCTTCATTTCGTAGAGAAAGTATGTACTTGACCTCCTTCATGAGGTTGGCAAGTTGGGGTGCAAACCAATTGAAACCTCTATTGACCCCAATCATAAACTAAATGTTGATAATAGAGACATTCTTCTAGACAAGGATGCCTATTAGAGACTTGCTTGTTGGTTTCTCGATTTGTGCTTGACCAAATGTGATATATCATGTTTTGTGAGTGTGGTGAGTCAGTATATGCATAACCCTAGAACTTCACATATAGGGGTGTAAGCGGATCGAATTCGAATCGGATCAGGCAACGCCCTAATTCGAATCCGACTAGAAAATCCGATATCTGAATTTGATTCGATATCTGACGGATATTGAAAATTAATATCCGAATTCGAATCCGATTAAATATTCGAATATTCGATTTGATTCGAATTTGATTAATTAATTATTTTAGATAATAAATATATTATATATAAGAATTAAATAATCGGTCGAATTCGGATATTTATCGAATTGAGTCAAGTCATATCCGAATTCGAATTCAAATCCAATTATCCGTATTTGATTCGATTATGTTGACTATCGAATTCGAAATCGGATTTTCGAATACTATTGACACCCCTATTCACATATGCAGGCGATTAATAGGGTCCTTGCCTACTTAAAAAGGTGCTTGGGCAAAGGATTGTGGTACTCCAACCATGGGTATCTCAAGGTTGAGGCTTATATTGATGCTGATTGGGTAGGTTCTATAGGTAATGTTGTGTCTTTGAGAAGTAAAAAGCAATTAGTTGTAGCTCGATCTAGTGCAAAGCGGAATATGGGGTTATGGCTCATGTTGTGTCAAAATTACTTTGGCTGAAGACCTTGTTATCTGAGATTGGAATCCAAGCTGAAGTTCCCATGAGACTGTATTGTGATAACCATAGTTTTCAAGGAGCCAAGGCGGCCCTAGGCAATAGGGGGAGTGCTTAGTCGCCTACCTAGATGTCGCCTAGTGTTTCAAATATAACCTCGCTTCTCCTAGTGTTTCAACTTTCAAGGTTTGTATCCTAGTGCTTCAAGGTTTGTTTCTTAGAAATAATCCTTCTCTTCCTAATGTTCCAAGGCTAGTGTCTAAGAAATATCATCGCCTAGGAAAAGAAGGGACTAAACCTTTGTTTTTTTCATAGAAAAAAAAAGAAAAAAATCAGAAAAATAAGGAAAAGGAAAGTCGGAGCACCTGTTTTTGTCTTAGAAAACTGAAAGCAAAAAAAAAAAAAAAAAACTCAAAAATGATGAAGGAGAAGAAGGGGCAAAGCCTCTATTCTTGTCTTAAAAAATGTAAGAAAAAACATCGAAAATGATGATGATGATCGAGCAGAGCCCCTATTCTTTTTTCAGGAAAAGGATAAGAAAACAAAAGCATCAAATGAAGGAGAATAAGGGGTGTAACCCTTGTTTTTGTTCTAGAAAAGGAAGGAAAAAAATAAAAAAAATTAAGAAGCAGAGTGGGTTATTTCCTATCTCAGAAAAGAAGATGTTGACAGAGGATCATACCTGCAATCAATTGATGTTTACGAGATGAAGTCATCATCCCATCGATTCTGGTTGCTCTCGTTGTTCGTCTCTTCAAGTCTTCAAACTGCTTTGTATCATTCGAACCCTTACAATACAACAATCTAACAAATACACACCGGTTTATGAAGTGAAGAAAGAATGTTATGGTGTATTGCCATCTATTTTAATATTATGAGCTCAAAGTATAAAAAATAAAAATATTGTAAAATAATGTAAAGTATAATACAAAGACTGGTTGGAGTTTGGGCGAGGTGAGTGATAAAAAGTGCTTAGTTGCCTAGGTGATGCCTTGGTGCTCGCCTTGACAACTATGGTGATAACCAAGCTGCTATAAACATTGCGCATAATCCATGCAACATGATCACACAAAACACATTGAGGTTGACAAACACTTCATTAGAGAAAGGATAGCCAGTGGAGAAATATGTGTGCCTTTTGTTAAGTCAGAAGATCAACTTGTTGATTGTCTTACCAAGGGCCTCAACAAGCCTAAGCTTGATAGAAACCTAGGCAAGCTGGGCATGATAGATATCTATGGTCAGAGCTTTAGGGGGAGTGTTGAGATTATGCATTGTGGGAAGGGGTATTTATGTATTTTCACTTTATTTTTATTTGGGTACCCATTCAAGGGCATAATTGTAATTTTCTCTCTCTTGCTAAGTAAAAGGAGTTTTGTTTTGGGTGTGAACAGGAACACACCCTGTTTCTCACAAAATCTCTTCTCTTCTCCTTCCTCTCTTCTTTCTTCTTCTTCCTATACTCTCATTCCAACTTTTGGTTCAGTTCTAGCAAATGGCAACATCAGCAGTACAGATAATGATGTCAACGTTGGAACTTGGAAGAAAAACAGCAACTTCTTACTCCCACTATTCATATTTTTATTTGAAATAATTTGATTTTATGGGCATTGAATAAATTTTAGGATTTGTGCTTGGTTTAATTCCATGAATGACAAAAGAAAAGATGATCAAGGGGAAAGGACAATTTGCAAAATCATTAATTTTTTTGACACTTGTTTACATGAGAAAAAGTGGAAGGAAATAAATTCTGACTAAATAGGGGTCCGTGGAAATTAAAATTCGAACTTCATATTCACTAGGCAAGACCTAAGCCAAATAGGTTGATCACTTAATTGTTATTATGCAGCTTAAGATATCAAATGCCATTTGCCAATGTGGGAAAGGAAAAAGAAAAAAAATGGATTCTTAATATCTTTTGCAAGTGGCAACAAAGCTTAATCTTACATGGGCAACAAATGGAAATAGAGGAAGGAAAAGAATAGTAATTCTTAGACAGTTTTGTATGCCCTTAGCTTCAATCATTTTGATGTACTTTTGTTATTTAGTGGAAATAAATAAAGTGCATGTTTGATTCATGTTGTTTGGTTTAATTCTGTGTAAAACCCTAAAACTGGACATT